AATCCTAAAATCTCATAATATGAACAAAACTTAAAATAATAAATATTTGGTTTTGGTAGTTCAAAGTATGGTGATCGTCTCTTCGATTTGTCCAACGTTGCAAATCCATTCTAGGAGTGGGAGAGAGAGAGAGAGAGAGAGAGAGAGGGAGGTAGGGGGTAGATAGTCGCCGGTCGTCTCTTCGATCTTGTACCGTCGTCGATCGAAGAGAGAGAGATGAGAGACAGAGTGAGAGTGAGGAAGGGGGAGATTGGGATCGTCGCTGATCGAAGAGAGAGAGAGAGAGAGAGAGAGAGAAGAGAGATAGAGTAAGAGTGAGGGAGAGGAAGACTGAAACAGTAGCCGATCGAAGCAAGAGAGAAGACAGGGATATGGAGAGGGAGATAGAGACTGAGAGGGAGAGACAAAAGGGTTGGATGATTTTGGATCTTCATCTCAACCGTTGGAAATGGTATTGTGTAGACAGTGGTGATCTGTCTTGGAAAGGCAAAAGAGCTGTTGTGCTTTTTTTGCCTGAAAAAACAACCAATATATAGTTCGGTATAAACAATGTAATTTCAAGTATTTAAATTTATCTTTTTGCCTCCAATGTAATTTTGAGTATTTAAATTTATTTTTTTAATTTTTCAATTTCTTTTTTATTTTTTATATTTGTCTAGTCAGGTATTATATAAATATATTATTTTTTATACAAACAGATAAAAAAAAGGTCACAAAAGACAAAAAAATAAACAAAAATCACTAAAAAAATTATATCCAAACAATACCTACAAACTTAGAGGGAAAGTTGGTTGAGATTTGTCAAAATAATATATGTACCACTAGAGCACCATTGAAAATGATAGCAATAACTGGTATTATAACAACAACCATTGAAAATGATCTAAGGCCTCGTTTGACAACTCAATATTTTAATTTGAAAGTAAAAAATTCACCCCCCCAAAAAAAAACAACCTATATCAAAAATCAAAAATTTTTCATTTTCTATCTACTTTTTGTACATTTTTTCGTAAAAAAATAATTATTCCAAACATACTAAATTTTTTTTACCTTATATTTTAGTTAAAAAAATAAAAAAAATACTAAAATAATATGTTCCCAAATGAGATATAATTCTCTCTCCCTATCAATATTCATTTATTTCTATATACAATACATATAAATGAAAAGTCAGATTGAAATAATCAACAATTAAAAAGCTCATACCATGCGAAACTTTATAGTCTCAAACTAAAATAACAAAAAAAAAATTAAAAAATTAAAAAACTAACCTACATCTCATACGAAGCCATAGTTTTAGAGACAGGGAAAGATGAGAACGTTTAGATTTACAGGAAAGGGAGAAAAAAAAATAGTGAAAGAGTAGAGAGAAAGATGATGCGACTCTCTCTCGACATGTCTGGGTTCAGAGAGAGTAGATTTGCATAGTATTAAAGTTGAGCAGTAATACTACAAATTTAAATTTAATTATTTAGAAATTAATCAGAATTATTATTTTATAATTTAAATCTATTTTACAAATGAATCTCATACTACACAAATTCAATCCTAACCATTCAATCTCTTTTGAGATAAATTCAGGATAACTAAGATAAAATTCATAGCATTTTTCTAAAGTTGAGAGTAGAATGACATAATCTGTGGTTAAGTTAAATAATTGTGGCTGAGGATTTTGTGGCCGTGCCTTAGGATGCGGTGAGTGCAAAGTCTGGAGTTTGAACTGATGGATTAGCGGCGACTCTTTTTAAGTTATAACCTAACTTTACTAACATTCTATCTTTGACTATAAAAAAAAAAAGTTAAATAATTGTTCGACATTTGCAATTATGGTGACATGTCAAGAAGCTATTGGTTGTCGGTAAATTTTAGTTTTACAGAACAGCTGTGCAGAACACAAGCTCTATTAATAAAATCTCAAAATAATACGTAACAGAAAATGATAACACAAGGCAGGCAGGGACGGCTTCAACCAATACAATTCTGTCACGTGTGAAATTGGTGGGATTGAACAACAACATCAATCTCGCGGTTATATTCAAATCAAAGAGAAAACAGAGCACAGAGAGAGAGAGAGAGCGCTGTGGTTTTATGGGGATCTTGGTTGGGCATTCATTCAGTACTAAACGATTTTGACTCCAAACAAACAAAATATAATTTAAACAGAGCAGCAACCAGAAACCACTAACTGAGTGAGCTACTCAGATCAGAATCAAAAGTGTCTTCCATTCATTTTTTTCAGACTCCAATCCAATCGGCCTCGAAATTCACACGTGCAGCCTTCTGAAATATAGTTGTCGCTGTTCTCAAATCAAACAAACAATTTACTGATTTGTGTCAAAATGTGTCTTTGTATATATCTATATATATTTATTTTTTTTTGATAACCGGGTGTTTGGGCCAGCTTACGCGCACCTCGACTAATCTCAGGACCCTGAAGTTAACGATCGGGCAAACCTCCAGTGGCCCCAAGGTTTGGGATGTTTGACCTTCATGGGTTTTGAACTTGTAACCTCTTGGGTGGCAAGCCCTTTGGTTGCTTTCTCCATCCACTAAGCCAAACCCCTTGGGGTTCTTTGTATATATCTATATAACATGGAGTTATGAATGTGAAATGGAGTTTGATGAACAGTTATGGTATAATACCCAAATTTGTAGAAATAATTGTATTTTCTAGTCTATAAAGCGCACACACGGACACATGACACCACATGGACACAACCACACTATGTGTGTGTTAAATGATGGACAGGTGTGTCCGGGTCTTTTTTTTTTTTTTTTTTTTGAAAAAATAGGATATGTTTTGATGACTGTCAGACACTTTTGGGAAGTGTCCGAAAAGTGTTGGTGTTTGACACGCTTCCTTCTTTGAAGTGTCTATCCTTAGGTTTTAGTACACAATGATCTTGCTCTGTGAATTGAAGGATCGGAGAATTTGAAAATTTCAACAATCAGGCAATTTTAGGGAAATGGTTATTCTTTCTTTTTCGGCGAAGTTATCATATTTAAAGTACAGATTTTTTTTATATTATTTATTATTTTCTTGTTTTTTGAGTTTTGTTTACCTATAAGAACCCTCCATTTTCTGTGAGACCAAAAATCACATGGGTAGAGTTAGCTATTGTATTGGTATCTATTTGTATTCTTCAGAAATTTTGCATTGGTGTCAAAGTGTCAAACTCTGTTGCTCTAATTTCTAACCCTCCAATTAACAGTAGAATGTATTGTAAATGGTCACTTACAATTCTCATGTTTCTTCACAACATAAGGTGAATTTTTCTGTGTCTTATCTGTGTTTTCTTGCAATCTGCAACGAAGAATATGAAATCTCCATTCAAAGGGATTATTAACGACTTTGAAGGAAGAAAAGAGTGCTATATGCGAGACTGGCTCGATGCATTTCTTCAGGCAGCAGGTTTCTTTATTTGTTTTGATAGAGTAAGAGTAACATAATTGTGGAACATTGCAATTGGAATGCAAATTTTAAGTTCATCTACTTCAAGATTTTGGCTCCAACCACTTATATGTTCTTTGCCTCTGCTCTTCCAGTCATTGTGTTTGGAAAACAACTTAATAGAGCAACAGGTCGAACATTATGCTTAATTCTTTTCAATTTAGTAAAGGTCACTCTGTGCAAGTGTGTGTGTGTGGGGGGGGTGCCTTTATCTGATTTATCCATTGACATGCATTTTTCTGAATTTTATTTATTTATTTTTCTATAGATGGAAGCTTGAGCACAGTAGAAACTCTGGCTTCGACTGCCATATGCGGAATAATACATTCAATATTTGGTGGTCAACCTTTGTTGATATTGGGAGTTGCCGAGCCCACGGTTATAATGTACACTTACTTGCATAATTTTACCAAAGGAAAGGCAGATCTTGGACAAGAGTTGTTCTTGGCTTGGGATGGATGGTAAAGATGAATCCATCTCCCCATATTTCCTTGTCTAAAATCTTTATGTACTAGTTTCATTTTCTTGACACAACCTTGCAGGGTTTGTGTCTGGACAGCTCTCTTGCTCTTTCTCCTTGCTGTGTTTAATGCTTGCACTATTATCAATAGATTTACAAGAATAGCAGGCGAACTTTGTGGCACGTTGATTGCTGTTCTTTTCATGCAAGAGGCTATCAAGGTATTTATTTGATTAACAAATAGAAACTGCTTTATTAGGCCTAGAAATAAATTTTTCTTAATGGTTATAATCAATTTTAGCTCCTAGGTTTCAGGGAAACCCTACCTTCTTTGATTCATTCAAAGCGTGCAATTTATATTCCATCGATATGCTCTTCAATTTGCACTTGAATTTCTATTGTATCTGTTTTCTCAGTTAATGCATTAGCTTTTTTCATTGCTTTGCGAAATTGCCTGATTGGTTATTCTTTGAAGATGGTTTGTAAGAATAACCATTTCATTGCTTTGCGAATTTATAGCTGGTTATTCTTTATTCTTTAAAAAATGGTTTTAATACTAACCTTCTTTGAAGATTATTCTTGCAAGATTATTCTTTTAGGGCAATTTTAAGGATCAGAGAAATGGTTATTCTTTAGTCCACTTCCTTGGGTGTCTGCATCTTTGCGCCACTGGACGGTAATCAAGGTCAGAATATGCAACTATTTTTTTTTTCTTTGTTTGTTTCACCAGAGCTGTTGAGTTCTCTATCATGCTACTTTCTTTGTCACTCCCTCTTATGGGGAAAGCACCTACCATTTGCTTGTGAAGGAGTATTATGATCTAAAATGTCGAAGGATCAAAATTTCATATCAGTATGTTGTTTCCAATTGCATGGAAATGGAAATGTTTCGAAAACATAAGAGAAATGATTAAAGAACATGGAAACGTTTGAAAATATTTAATAACAAAAACTACACCTTATATAAATGTTAATACATTATCAATCTATATAATAAAACAAGATGAAACACCCTAAAAACATGGAAACTCGGACTATCCATAACACATACATTTTCCATTCAATAAGTGGAAGTAAAACTAAGATTTCATACATTGAAAATCATGATGTTTTATAGCATTACAAAATCAAACCACATGCATGATACATTCGCTGCTTCTAAAACTTGAATTTATAGCATGTGATCGATAAAAATTAATATCTAATCTATTACATATCCATGCCTTATCAGCTACAAGTTCCCAAGATGATACTTGGTTACAACAAAAGTGGGTTTTAAGCCCAATACGTAGAAAGTCCTAGGCTTACACAAAAGAAAACTCAAAATGAGCGTTTAGCTCCAACGTTCTCCCAAGTTATCCCCTTGCCAGAGGCATACCATCAGTACCTGAAATGTTTTTCTATGTAGGGTGAGCTAAAGCCCAGTAGAGACGAGTTTAATGATATGCATGATGTTTAACAAAGTCATATGGTGATGCATATGAAAATGCCATTACAAATCATGTTTTTTCCCCCTTTTTGAAACAATGCTAGAGTTCAAACCACAATTTATATATTTCCTTTATGGCAGAAAACAGGGTAATAAATACACACGCTCGTAATCTCTAGATATGTGCCCGCAAGTAGGCTATAAAAGCACTACCAAAGCCACTTTATTGACAACTAACCGAATGGAAGGCATCCTAACTGCACAGATTTTTGAACTTTCACCAAGGATACAAATGCCAACTTAATTAACCACAACCAAACCTCCTGACCAGATTTACCATAGTATTCACCCATTTTTCTCAAAACAACACTTTTCAAATGCATAGGCATGACACAATTGAATAAATGAAATGCATGAGTGAATTTAGCTTCAGTTAACCTAGCTCTCATGCAATTTCTACAATAAGCAATGCTATCCTTCGCCGATAGCCAAAATAATTATCTCTATATAATATAGTCCAAAATGGATGATATATAAATAAAGATCATCGCTAAAGATTTCAAACAATATCAACACAAAGTATCTTGCCTCAAATCTCCCAAAATCTCATTTATTTCCATAAAATGCAAATTCATGAGTTCACCATAAATTCAACAGCACCATTTACTTCCTCAACCTTTTGTAACTCCTAGGGTTTTGATAAATAAAATTGAGGTTTCTCATTTTTAAACCCATTTCTTCAAGTTTCCAATACCCACCATTATCATCAACAACCAAATAAAGATTTAAGAACAATTGTGAGAAAACCCTTACTTTTATGCAGTAAAATACATATAAATCGAACTCTAATCTCACAAAGTGTTAGATTTACAAGAAAACACATAACAAAACTAAATAACATGCAAATCAATAAAGAAAGCCCTACCTCAAAGCAAGAGGAGAAAATGAACAACGCCCGAAAATCAACGGCAACGAAAACTGGAAATTTTCATATTAAAACGATGCCCTCCACCTACCCTACCTTTTTAACTCAAGCACTAGGGGTAGGAAATGGGTAGAACTAGATGAGAACCGAGGTTTTACAGCTTAGTGACTAAAAAATGGTGGAAAGAGATGTAAGTGTAAGATAAATTGATAGAAAGAGAATAAATTGTAGCGAGAAATTGTGTATCTCTTTTATTATATTTAGTATCTGTGTTGTTAACTCCTTTATATAGAGGAGAGGTTACATAATTTGGAGGAGCCATTGAGGAACGGCTTACCGAAAGTGGCCGAAAGACTTACAGAGGAGAGGTTACATAATTTGGAGGAGCCATTGAGGAGCAGCTTACCGAAAGTGGCCGAAAGACTTACAGAAAGGAAACACTAATGATGAAAGCAAGCAATCGCTAACCTATTATAATACTAACATATTATAATAACCTATTATATAATATTATACACTAACATATGAATGACATATTATAATAGGATAGGTTATTATATAATATTAACAGTAAGGAAGAAGATACGAATAAAAAAAAATTAAAAAAGTAGATATTTCTAGCTTTTGGGTTCTATTTATAGACAGATGCATCGCGGACGCGAAGAACACACCGCGGGCACAGACTCCCATACTGCGGGCGTGATCCCTAAGTCGCAGCCTACCCTCACGGCCCTTTGTGAACCATGAAACTTCTCCCATACCAAAGACTTGAAGGTGTGTTTTGGTCGTGGGAGGGGATCACATAGATCGCAGCCTCCTTCGCAGGCCACTCAATTCCATCAGGCCAACAGACCTGAAGACCCAATCTGGTCGCGGCACCTCATGGGAGCGACCTCGCAACCTCAAGAAAATTGTCGCGGGCTTGACGGTGAAAGCAGAGAAAAATTTACAAAAGATGCTAAGTACAAACCAAGGCTCCTGTGACAAATAAACTCAAGGAAGAGACAATACAACCTAAAATAATTACCAACCCCATACCAAGAACATAAAAGGATCAGGTCTAAACCCGGATCGCTATATAGAATGGTTTTCAAAAATATCTAAGAGATGCAATTAATTAGAATAGTGTGGATTAAGCCTCCGTTTGGGAAGTGGGTTGGCTTTTTGGCTTTTTGGCTTTTTTGGTTATTTTAGCCTGGGCTAAAAAGCTTGGTTTGGGAAGGGCTTTTTGGCTTTTTTGACTTTTTTTTGTGAGAGAAGAGTGTAATGATTATGGGTTGGATGTGATGTTCTATTTTTTGTGGCTAAAATAGCCTATTTTGTCTTTTGTGGCTAAAATAGCCAAAAAAGCCCCAAACTCTTCTTGCCAAACGAACCCTTAATTAAAAATTGAAACGCTGAGATCGCTTGATTCGAAATAAACTTCCTACGCAAACAATTATTAACTTTTATTTTACACAATCCCATATCTGGAAAAAGGAAGGAAAAGTGAGTTGTTTCACTTATATAAAGTGAATCTTATGCTTCCATTTAATATTGTAATATTGTGCATATTTTAGTTCAAGACAATTTAAATTTTAAAATTTAATTAATTAATTTTTGTGTAAGTTGGTTGGTCTTTTGACGTAGCCGATTAGGTTAAATTGTTTTTAGTTTGATTAATTCATTGGTTTAATTGCAATTTTAGCGGTTTTAGTAAAATATATTGCTTAAATTTGTTTGATTTGAAATAAACTTCTTGCTTGAACAATTATTAGGCTTTAGTTTACACAATCCCACATCGGGAAAAGAATGATTGAGGAAGTTGTTTCACCTATATAAAATGAACTTTATACTCCAATTTAATGATATAGTGTTGTTCATATTTCAATTCAATATAATTTAAAGGGATATTTACCAATAAATCTCATCTAACAAAAAAGTACTCCAATTAGTCCTAAATTTTTTCTATTATCTATTAAGTCCTATTAGTGGAGAATTTCTTTCTGTATGGTCCTATTTTTTTATTTTGGTAGTGTTTTGGTGGACAACTATATCATTTTATTAATGTGACAGGTATGATGTGATACTCCAATGTGGTACGTATTAATGTAACACTCCAACGATGTGACACTCTAAAAAAATTAAAAACTCATTAGTGTATTTTTTTTCAAATATGACAACGTGGTGGGTATGATGTGACACTCCAAGACTTTTACTCCAAAAAAACTAAAAACTTGTTTGTGTATTTTTTCCAAATGTGACAACGTAGCGAGTATGATATGACACTTAAAAGAAAAATTAAAAACTCCTTAGTGTACTTTTTCCAAATGTGACAACATAGCGGATATAATGTGACACTCTAAAAAAAAAACTCTTTAGTGTACTTTTCCCAAATGTGACAATGTGGCGGGTATGATGTGACACTTCAAAAATAAAAAATAAAAACTTTATAGTGTAATTTTTTTCAAATGTGATATGTGACACTCTAACGTGGCGGGTATGATCTGACACTGTAAAAAAATTAAAAACTATTTAGTGTACTTTTTCCAAATGTGACACTCTAACATGGCGGACAAATGAGTCATTACACATCTAAAATGACTAAATGGATCACAAGAAAAAAAAATATGGGACTATATAAATTACAAGTCCAAAATATAAGACTTATTGGTTAATCTCCCTAATTTAAATTTTAAAAGTTTTCAATTAATTAATTTTTGTGTGAGTTGATTAGCCTTCCACTACAAGAAAAAACACCTTTGGCGACTAAATTTTTAGTCGCCAAAGGTCCTATTTTAGTCTCCAAATGTCAAAATTTCACTTTTCCCGACTAAAAAGTTTAGTCGCCCGTGTTGTCGCCAATAAACGGTCGCGAATGCCTTTGGCGACTAAAACACTGTTAGTCGCCAATATATATGTCTTCAGCGACTAAAGATTTCGTCGCCAATAGTCAATTTCTTTATTGGAAATTATACCTTTGCCGACTAAACTGTTAGTCGCCAATAGTTCATTTTTATTTTATTATTTATACCTTTGGCGACCATTCACTTTAGTCGCTGAAAGTATTTTCAGAAAAAAAAATTTTTTGCCTCCGCTGCTCCCAACAGGTTTCGAACTTGCGACGTCCCTTTGCACACGCCAAACCCTTTGCACAACACTCCCTCCACTATGTCAGTTCATCATCACATGATCATATATGCAATATATATTATTTATATACTATATTAACCGCAATTAATACAAAATAATATTTATAAATATAATTTTTTTAATTCAATATAATTTTTGTCAAAAATAAATTATTTGCTAAAAAAAAAATTAGGCGACTTTTGGCGACTAAAACCATTTTTTAGTCGCTAATTGTATTATTTTGGGCTACTAATTATTTATTTGTCGCTAAAAAAACAAGTTCTCAATTAAAAATCAGCACTTTTGGCGACTAAACAGAAATTTCGTCACCAAAACCACTACTTTGGGCGACTAAAATGGATTTTCGTCGGCAAAACCCCCACTTTCAGCGACTAAATTGTTTTTAGTCGGCAAAACTGCTATAATCAGCGACTAAACCTGTTTTTAGTCGCCAAAACCATACCTTTTGCTACTAAATTATTTTAGTCGCTAAAAACCGTGACTTTTGGCTACTAAACAAACTTTAGTCGCTGAAAACCCTATATTAGGCGACAAAACTTCCTTTTAGTCGCTAAAAACATGCTGTTCGGCGACTAAACCCTTTTAGTCGCTAAAAACCTGCTTTTCGGCGACAAATTCCAATTTAGTCGCCATTTCATGCACTTTCAGCGACGAAATTTCATCTGTTAGTCGCCATTTCTGTTTTTTGTTGTAGTGTTCTACCCTTCCTGTAAGCTTAATCGGTTTAAGATTTGATTGATTCACTAAGTTTAAATTGTGATTTTTAGTTGTTTCTGCAAAAACTACTAACGAAACAAGTGCCTAGAGACACTTCCAATGAAATAAAATTTAAAAACTATGCATAAGAAAGTAAAGTTGTTTGGATAACATCGAGCCATACCAATGCTAACAAAAAGAAAATAATAATAATAAAATAAAATCAATACAAAATTCAAACATGCACTTGAATTCGACAGATGGTGTGTCCCTAATTGAATTTAATAAATCAACTCAAGTTTCACTTTACGTTATATTTGCGTATTCTATAGTTAACGGTGACATTAATGCTAATGATGGCTAGAAGTTAGAGGATGGTGAATTTACTACACACTACATGTGTTCGGATAACATCAATAGGAAGAATGAGAGTTTTACAATTCTTGATTACAATCAATGAAAAAGAATAATTGCATTTAATAGATGAAAATTGTTTCCAAATAAAGATAGATTCGTTACAAATAGAGCAAATAGATATGGATAGATATTAAATTTTCTTATTTTATAGATATCTATATAATAAAACAGGATAGTTTTTCAAAATGTTTAGAAGGAAATTAGGGCATTCGATTCAATTGTTTGGTTAGAATAGTGTGGATTGACCTAATTAAAGATTGCATGGCTGAGATTGCTTGATTTGAAATAAACTTCCTGCCCAAACAATTGTTAACTTTTATTTTACACGATCTCACATCGGAAAAAATGGAAAAAGTAAGTTGTTTTACTTATAAGTGACCTTATGCTCCTATTTAATATTGTAGTGTTGACATGTTTCAATTCAACCCAATTTAAATTTTAATTAATTAATTGTTGTATAAGTTGGTTGGTCTTTTGACCTAGTCAATTAGGCTGAACTATTTTTAGTTTGATTGATTCGCTGGTTTAACTGCGATTTTATCAAATTATATTAGTTAGATTTGTTTTATTTGAAATAAACTTCTTATCTAAACAATTATTAGCTTGGAAAAACTTCATTTTACTCTCCTGGGGTTTGAGTCATGTGCGGTTTATCCCCTTAATGTTTGGAAATGACGAAGTACACTGTTAAATGTTTTGTCCAACTTAACAACAATGTAAAATACATGGCAAACATGAGGGGGCTATACGCTCATTTTCAAATTTCAAGAGGGTAAATTGCACACAAAATAAAGCATAAAGTGTTAACAAATGACGAAATTATCCATAGTTCACACACTTAAGTTACTTATATGCAGGAGCATTTTACTCTTTTTCATTAAATTATTCACGGGTCTAATGGTGCATTTCAGTCCACAAAAATCACGTGGGGGTTATATGGTCAT